GGATCATAGGGGAAGAGAGAAAAAAATAAAACAAGACGAAACCAGAGAGGAAGACAAACCATACGAGACTCTTAATCCTAGGAAACAAACCGAGGGTTGCTGGAGAGGAGCGGGTAGGGGGATGGGATATATGAGTGATGGACATTAAGGAGGGCACATGATGTAATGAGCACTGGGTGTTATAGAAGACTAATGAATCACGGACCTCTGCCTCTGAAACCAGTAATACATTTTATGTTAATCAATTGAATTTAAATTAAAAAATAAAAATAAACAAATAACCCAATTAAAAAATGAACAAAGGGCTTGAACAGACATTTCTCCAAAAATGATATACAAATACCTCTGAAACCAATAATACATTATATGCTAATTTTGTTACTTTATTTTTATTAACATATAATGTATTATTGGTTTCAGGGGTATAGGTCTGTGATTCATCAGTCTTACACAATTAACACCGCTCACTATAGCACATGCCCTCCCCAATGTCCATCACACAGCCACCCCACCTCTCCCCACCCCTCCACTCCAGCAACCCTCAGTTTGTTTCCTGAGATTAAAAGTCTTTATGGTTTGTCTCCCTCTCTTGTTTCATCCCTTTACATTTTTTCCTCTCTTCCCCCATGATTCTCTGCCTTGTTTCTCAAATTCCACCTATCAGCGAGATCATATGATAATTGTCTTTCTCTGGTTGACTTATTTCGCTTAGCATAATACCCTCTAGTTCCAGGAAATTGCAAAGGCAAGATTTCATATTTTGATGGCTGCATAGTATTCCATTACACACACACACACACACACACACACCCCACATACTCTTTATCCATTCATCTGCTCTTTCCATTGTATAGCTATTGTGGACACTTAAATACTAATTACTTTAAATTAAAAAATGTTTAAATATATATATATATCTCCCCACCCCCTAATACTTATTAATTCTAAATGTGGAGATAGAACTTTACAGTGGAGACACCTGGCAACCACTACCTTAACCAAGAGATCACAATTAATACCACAAAACTAACATGTGCCTCCTGATAAGATATGCTAAGAAGGGCTCAGCTTGGGGCGCCTAGGTGGCTCAGTGGGTTGAGACTCTGCCTTTGGCTCAGGTCATGATCTCAGGGTCCTGGGATTGAGCTCCACATCGGGCTCTCTGCTCAGCAGGGAGCCTGCTTCCCCCCCTCTCTCTGCCTACTTGTGATCTCTCTCTCTGTCAAATAAATCAATAAAATCTCTTTAAAAATAAATAAATAAAAAAGAAGGGCTCAGCTTCCTTTTGCAGTATTCTTGCGCATTCGTTCTAATAACCTGAATCTAATTGTGCAAAACACAAACCCAAACTGAAGAATATTCTATAGCAGTGCTGTCCAACAGAACGTTCTATAACACTGGATGTTTTCTATCCTAACTCCCCAGCAGGGCAGCCACAACCACATGGAACCACCAAAAGAACGATAAAGCACATATTGTTAAATGTTAAGGCTTTGAATCAAGAGGTGCCTGCGTGGCTCAGTCAGTTAAGCATCTAGCTTCGGCTCAGGTCGTGATCACACGGTCCTGGGATACAGCCCGGCAGCAGGCTCCCTCCCCACTTAGCCAGGAGTCTGCTCGTCCCTCTTCCTCTGCTTCTCCCCCCACTCATGTTCTCTCTCAAATAAATAAAATCTTTTTTTTTTTAAAGATTTCATTTATTTTTATTGACAGAGATCACAAGTAGGCAGAGGGGCAGGCAGAGAGGGAGAAGAGGAAGCAGGCCCCCCGCTGAGCAGAGAGCCCCATGCGGAGCTCGACCCCAGGACCCCGGGACCACGACCCAAGCCGAAGGCAGAGGCTTCAACCCGCTGAGCCACCCAGGCGCCCTCAAATAAATAAAATCTTAAAAAAAAGAAAGAAAAAGAAAGAAAGAAAGAAAGAAAGAAAGAAAGAAAGAAAGAAAGAAAGAAAGAAAGAAAAGAAAAGAAAAGAAAAGAAAAGAAAAGAAAGAAGGAAGGAAGGAAGGAAGGAAAGAGAGAGAGAGAAAGAAAGAAAGAAAGAAACTAAGAAACTTAAAAACTTTGAGATGAAAGGTATATGGTGGGGCACCTGGATGGCTCAGTTGATTAAGGCTCTGCCTTTGGCTCAGGTCATGATCTCATGGCCGGGGGATCAAGTCCCATATCCGGCTCTCTGCACAGAAAGTAGTGTGTTTCTCCCTCTCCCTCTGCTGTTCCTCCCAGTTTGCGCTTTCTTTCCTTCTCTCACTCTGCTGTCTCAACTAAGTAAATAAAATCTCACACACAAAAAAGGGGGGCGGTGCCTGGCTGGCTCAGTCATTAAGCATCTGCCTTCTGCTCAGGTCATGATCCTAGGGTCTTGGGATCGAGCCCCACATCAGACTCCCTGCTCAGCAGGAAGCCTGCTTCTCCCTCTCCCACTCCCCCTGCTTGTGTTCCCTCTCTCGCTGTGTCTCTCTCTGACAAATAAAATCTTTATTTAAAAAAAAATTTTATGTGGAAAATTTTTATACAATTTTTGCAACTTTCTATAATTCTGGTATTATGTCAAAGTAAACATACAAGGGGCTCCTGGGTGGCTCAGTCAGTTAAGCATCTGACTTCTCAGGTCATGATCTCAGGGTGTTGGGATGGAGCCCGGCGTCAGGCTCCTCGCTCAGCAGGAAGTCTGCTTAGTCCCTCTGCCCCTCACACTGCTTGTACTCACTCTCTCTCAAATAAATAAAATCTAAAAAAAAAAAAAAAAAAGAAGAAGAAGTCTGAAAAATCAGACTACATCAGGTATTTACACACAAAAATTATACTATTAGTACACATGAACGAGAACAGTAATAATGAAAACCTTGTGAAATTCTAATCAAATATGACATACTGAAGAGAGTATTTATATCCACTGTCTCCTGAAACTTTATGACAGTAAGGAAACAAAAAAAAACCCATAAGGCTTGTTGATATGATATGCTGAAAATGGTACTTTACCTTTGTGGTTTTCCTCCCAATATCCTGTAACTACAGTCTAAACATGAGAAAAACAACAGACAAATCCCAAGGACATCCAACAAAATCCCCGATCAGTCCTCCTTAAAACTGTCCAGGTCATCAAAAACAAGGAAAGTGTGAGAAACTCTCAAAAACAAAGGAAATCTAAATAAACTATAGAATTTATTTAATAATTATATATCAATATTACTTCATTAATTGTTGCAAACATGCCATCCTAACATAAGACATTAACAACAGGTGGACTGTGCAGGGTATATAGGAACACTGCACCGTGTTCTCAATTTTTCTGTAAATCCAAAACTGCTCTAAAAAATAAAGTGCTTTTTTAAAAGTGTGACACAAATGTCTTCAGATAGGGAAAGCTTCGGAATTCATCTCCCATGTATTCTTTTTCTCAGGAGATATACTCTAGCAAAACAAAGAATTAAACCAAGAAAGAAGACACAGGATGCACAAGAGAGATCCATGGGGCGTCTGAGTGGTGCAGTTGGCTGAGCGCCCAACTCTTAATTTTGACTCAGGTCATGATCTCAGAGTCTTGGGATCACACCACTCATCCTCAGGCTCTGAACTCAGCGCACAGTCTGCTTGTCCTTCTCTCTGCCCCTGCCCCCACTCCCTCCCTCTCTAAATAAATAAAAATCATAAAAAAGAGATCCAATATAGGAAACAAGCAAAGACTATCCCGAGGATGATAGTGAAGTCAGGTCCTAGACATCTGTGTATCTGACCTCAAGAGCAACCAGCTCATAATGATGCAAAAGTATATGCAGATGGGAGTAAGTACTAAACACAGGATAGTAAGCAGGTTAAAAAAAAAAGGCAATTATCAATTCCAGGAAAAATATTAAGTTGGTAGAGAAAGGAAACATAATCACTGGACACTGCAGCTTAGCTCTGAAGAATATCTACACAGACAGTAAGAAATACTGAAAACTGATTTAACTGGAAATGATAACCCCTCTTGTTTCAAATCTAAGACTTCACTCAATAGAAATCACGCCATGATTTTATTTACTATTACTTACTACTAAAAGAGAAGAGAAATGCTGCCCATTAAAATATAACACCATGGTGTAAAGATGTATACCGATTTCTCAGAGTTGTTAAAATGTAAAAGAATAGCTTCTTAGAATGAATTTAATACATTAATCACATTGAAAGGAGAGAAAGAAGTGTTCGCATTGGGAGCAAATGGTGTAAAAAAACTAAACTGTGACCTTCCTTGCACAGAAGGAGGTCAATATATAATGTCTGAAATTGATGGGGAAAAAAAAGAAAAAACAATATAAATTTGTTACATAGAAACATAGGAGAAAAATGCTAGAAGAAACTGCTAAAAGAGATGACAGTCGTAAGGGCTTTCTAAAGTAGGAGACACCAAGGTAGGGGGAAGGTGGAGGGGACTGCGGTTTTTCATTTGAGATTTGATTATTTAAACCATTTACAGGTATTATCTTCATGGAAATAAATGTAAAAAAATCAAACAACAACAAAAATCACAGCAGCAATAATCTGAAGCTATCAGGAAGAAAATTCAACGCTGAAATACGTTCAGAGTTTTTCATGTAGCATGACAAAGGATATCAAGAAAAACCTGAGGAAAAAATATACAACCCCAAACCCAATGCAGTCTCAAGATTATACAAAACCAAATTTTAAATGACGTTATAGCAAAGTGAAAATATTCAATCAAACCTATTCTAATCTGGTTCAATTTACCCATCCAGCCACACAGATGTTGATTTAAGATAGCTCAAAAGTTGACCCGCTAGAGACAGAAAGGCGTGGGAGTGACACCACAGCTCTAGAAGCTGACTTCCTGCTTCAAGATAAGACCCAACTGACTCGTTAGGAGGGTATATATTTGCAGCTACAGCAAAGTTACATAAAACAAAAATAAATGTGGAAAAAGTCATAATTGTCTTTAAGAGTCTAACATCTAAGATTACTTTCGCCTCCTCTGTCATTAGGTTCCCGTTACTTGTCACTTACATCTTGAAACATTTTGTTTTCTTGTTTTAGTCTCGCTTCTTTATCATCTGAGAGTTTGTAAGCATTCTCAAATGCTTCTTCTAAATCCTGCAGACGAGATTTTAGCCGAACGATGGTATTGTCTTTTTCTTTATTACTTGTTCGCATTTCCTCAATCCGTTCCTGCAAAATTTTGGAAGCATTGCTGGCTGCATTGAAACGTTCTCTAAAATCACTCTACAAAATAACAACAAAAATAACAAAATTTTTTAATAAAAAAAATAGATGTTTCAATAGCACTTAACAAATTGTGGGCATTAAACTATAAAAAAATAAAATAAAATAAAACCTAGGGACGCCTGGGTGGCTCAGTCGGTTAAGCCGCTGCCTTCGGCTCAGGTCGTGATCCCAGGGTTCTGGGATAGAGCCCCACATAGGGCTCCTTGCTCGGCGGGGAGCCTGCTTCTCCCTCTCTCTACCTGCTGTTCTGCCTACTTGTGCTGACTCTCTCTGTCAAATAAATAAATAAAATCTATAAAAATAACAACAAATCAATCAATCAATATATATATATTTTTAAACCAGCTTCAGAGATTATCATCAAGTACAGACACAAAACCACTGTCTGAGACACTATGGTGCTGGGCTCATCTATAGGTTACTTTAATGAAAAAAATGACCATGGCTATCAGGAGAATGATTCTGAAACCACACCTAGAATCTGTTGCCCCACATTAATATTTAGAGAATAATAAAGCTTTTATTACCCTATTCTCTCACTTACTAGGAAAATATAAGAGAAAATTCAAAATACATCTGATATGTTAGTATTTATTCAATATTTTAAACATTCACTAGGTGCCAGGCAATAGAGTGCCAGAAATATAAGATTAGCAAGAAAGACAAGTCCCCGACCTCAAGAAGCTTTCAGTTTAGGAGACAAAGACAACTAAAAACACATCAAAGGAAGGCAAAGAAACAGTGCACAGAACATAACTGGCATCTTCCATCGAAACGTTACTTATAAGGTTACATGTAGAAGAATAAAACTTGGTAATGCATGAAAAAAATTTTTTTAAGTTTATGCATTCCAGTTATACACCCAAGAAAATTAAAAAACTAAGTCCAGGGGTGCCTGGCTGGTTCAGTTGTTAAGTGTCTGCATTCAGCTCAGGTCATGATCCCAGGATCCTGGGATTGAGCCCCGAATCGGGCCCCCTGCTTGATGGGAAGCCTGCTTCTCCCCTTCTCACTCCCCCGGCTTGTGTTCCCTCTTTCGCTGTCTCTCTGTCAAATAAATAAATAAAATATTTAAAAATTTAAAAATAGAAAATAAAAAAATAAAAACTAAGTCTACATAAACTCTTGTATACAAATATTCATAGCACTATCATTCATAATCCCAAAACATGAAAACCAAAACACCTATCACCTGATGAATAGATAAATACGGTCTATCCCTACAATAGAATGTTCCTTAACCACAAAAAATAGCGAAATACTGATTCATGCTACAACATGGATAAACCTTGAAAATATCACACCAAGTGAAAGAAGCTGGACACAAAAGGTTATATATATGATTCCATTCACATGAATGTCCAGAAGAGGCAAATCCTAAGAACAGAAAGTAGAGTAGTGATTGCTAGGGGTTGGGGAGAAGGAGTTTTGGAGTTAGGAGGGAAAGGCTGATGGTTAAGGGGTTCAGGGTTTCCTTAAGTGAGAAAATATTCTAAAACTAAGTGTGGTGGATGGTTGCGCAAGTTTGCAAATATACTAAAAACCACAGCATTATACATTTCCAAAGAGTTTTATGATATATAAATTAATATTCCAATAAAAAAAATTTTTAAATGTCAAAGTAGGGGCGACTGGATGACTCAGATGGTTCAGCTTCTGCCTTGGCTCAGGTCATGATCTCCAAGCCCTGGGATCGAGCCCTGTGTCAAGCTCCCAGCTCAGGGGGGATCCTGCTTCTTCCTCACCCTCTGCCTGCTGCTGCTCCCCCTGCTTGTGCTCTGTCTCTCTCAAATGAATAAATAAAATCTTTTAAAAAAATAAAGTGTAAAAGTTTATCCTATCATATGACACCAACAGCATTCAAAATATAAACAATAAGACATCCTAACAACAACAAAGAAAGCACATAGCCAATGTTTTCATAAAACTATTTGTCTCTAACGTTCAGTTAACAAAAAGGTTTAAGTTTTTAACATTAAGCCACTGAACAACAAAAGAGTACTTACAACTTCTATTTCCAGTAAGTTATTCTTATTTTCGAGTGTTCTCACACGACTGGTAGCTTCATTCAGAGCATTATCTAAATGGCCACATCTAAAAACCATAAATTGAAACAAAAAAATTAGAAGATAAAATCCTTTCCCTTCAAAGTATTCTATGAATCTCATTTTCTAATATGTCACATAAATTCTCCAATGATAGTGAACATTAAGGATGCCATTTTAATAAATACATCCCAATAAATTTGATGATATTATTTTCCAAAGAAAGTAACAACAGAAAAGACCCCTAATACAGTTAAGTGAAAAAAACAAAATATGAACAGACATTTGTACACCCATGTTCACAACAGCAAAACACACGCAAGTCAGAAGATGGAAGCAACCCAAGTGTCCAGAGGATGAATGGATAAACAAAGTGTGGTCTATCCATCCAATGGAGTAGTATTCAGTCCTAAAAAGGATGAAAATCTAGGGGCGCCAGGGTGGCTCAGTTGGTTAAGCATCAGACTTTTAATTTCGGCTCAGGTCATGATCTCAAGTTGGTGAGATCAAGCCTCTCATCGGGCTCTATCCTGGGCGCAGAGGCAGCTTGAGATTCTCTCTCTCCCTCTTTAAAAAAAAAAAACAAAAAAAGAAATTCTAACACCTTCTATAACATGGATGAACCCTGAGGGCATTATGCTAAGTGAAATAGGCCAGACACAAAAGGACAAGTACGATTCCACTTACACGAGGTCCCCAAGCTCATATGAGGCGTCAAATTCATAGACAAAAAATAGGATGCTGGGGCGCCTGGGTGGCTCAGTGGGTTAAAGCCTCTGCCTTTGGCTCAGGTCAGGTCTCAGGGTCCTGGGATCAAGCCCTGCATCAGGCTCTCTGCTCAGCGGGAAGCCTGCTTCCCCCTCTCTCTCTGCCTGCCTATCTGCCTACTTATGATCTCTCTCTGTCAAATAAATAAAATCTTAAAAAAAAAAAATAGTAGGATGCTGGGTGCCAAAGGCTGAGGGGCAGGGAATGGAGGAGTGTTGCTTAATGGGGACAGGGTCAGGTTTGCAAGATGAAAAAGTTATTGCGCCGCCTGGGTGACACAGTCAGGCGTCTGCCTTTGGCTCAGGTCATGATCCCAGGGACCTGGAATCAAGCCCGTCATGCTCCCTGCTCAGGGGCAAGCCTGCTTCTCCCTCTCCCTCTGCCTGCCACTTCCCCTACTTGTGCCCGTTCTCTCTCTGTCAAATAAGTAAATAAAATTCTTTTAAAAAATTATATTTAAAAATACAGGATAAAGAATGCATAAAATTGGGAGCACCTGGGTGGCTCAGTGAGTTAAAGCCTCTGCCTTCAGCTCAGGTCATGATCTCAGGGTCTTGGGATCGAGCCCCATATCGGACTCTCTGCTCTGCAGGGAGCCTGCTCACTTGTCTCTCTCTCTCTCTCTCTCTCTCTCTCTGCCTGCCTCTCTGCCTACTTGTGATCTCTGTCAAATAAATAAATAAAATCTTTTAAAAAAAATGCATAAAATTGCTTGATCTTTGTTATGAAAAAAACCTATAGGGGCTCCTAGGCGGCTCAGTTGATAAGCGTCTGCCTTCAGCTCGGGTCATGATCCCAGGATCCTAGGATCGAGCCGTACACTGGGCTCCCTGCTCAGTGGGAAGCCTGCTTCTCCCTCTCCCACTCCCCCTGCTTATGTTCCCTTTCTCGCTGCATCTTTCTCTCCATGTCAAATAAATAAAATCTTTAAAAAAAAAAAAACTATATATAGATCTGTGCATTACGATTTCTAGGATATAAAACCTAAGTTTGGAATGTAACCATAGAGGTTGGGTAGGGAGAACTCTCATGTTACATCCCTCTGTACTTTTCCAAATTAGCCCGGATCTATTATTCTTATAAAGACCTTCCTAAAGTAAATCATCACAGAACCTCAAAATCACAAAATACACAGAAGAATTCCATTATCATTTTGACTCAGTGTTAATGAATTGTGAATAAAAACTATTATCTATTTGACACTGATTATAAGCCAAATCTATGTTAAGCACTTTACGTTCGTCCTCAAAATCCTATGAGTTAGGACTGCTATCATTACCATTTTACAGATGAGAAAACAGAAGCTGCATTCCTCCTGGGTTGTAGGCAATCACTGGGATTTGAAACCGGGCAGTGTGGCTCTGGGGTTCACACTCCTAACCACTGTGTATTAATGCTGTGCAGAAATCAAATACTGATAAAACTGTTCTTGAAAGAGGGCGCCTGGGTGGCTCAGTTGTTAAGCATCTGCCTTCCAATCAGGTCATCATCTCTGGGTCCTGGGATCAAGCCCCACACTGGGCACCCGGCTCTGGGGGGAAGCCTGCTTCTCCCTCTCCCACTCCCCCTGCTTGTGTTCCCTCTCTCGCTTTCTGTCAAATAAATAAATAAAATCTTAAAACTAAAACAAAAAATTGTACTTGAAGGAAAGAGCACAAAAGAGTCAAGTGGAAGTATGTTAACTCTATTTTTCTATTTTAAGCACCACACTGACTGTGGTAGAAAACTGGGTGACAGAACAAACGGAGACCAGACTGGCCCACCATGTGTCAGGGGCCCCATTCGCAGTGCCGGAAGGGGTTCTCCCCCTTGAAGTTTTAAGTTTGAAAAAACCTGCTGTGGGGGCACCTGGGTGGCTCAGTGGGTTAAAGCCTCTGCCTACGGCTCAGGTCATGGTCTCAGGGTCCTGGGATCGAGCCCCGCATCGGGCTCTCTGCTCAGCCGGGAGCCTGCTTCCTCCTCTGTATCTCTGCCTGCCTCTCTGCCTACCTGTGATCTCTGTCAAATAAATAAATAAAATCTTAAAAAAAAAAAAAGTTAAAAACAAAAGAAAAGAAAAAAGAAAAAACCTGCTATGTATGCTGACAACTTAAAATTAGGTTTTGTCTCCGGTGAATCCTTTCTCCCATCCCAGGTGACAGGGACTACTGCTGTGCCCCTGCATGCTCTCCGTCCCCTCCCTACCGCGCCCCCCCACCGCCGCCATCATAGTTCTACCACAGCCACTTCTTCAAACCCCAACTTCTCGGCCGTCCCACCTACACCGCCTCACTGCTCTAAGGCTCTAGCAGCTTCTGGGTAAAAATAGTGCTTTACTCAGCAATCCTTCACTAGGTGCCTTCTCTAGCAGCCTCTCTGTAATGCCTCCGTTTTCCACAGGAAGTACCTACAGTCCTCTTTGTACTCCTCTTTGTCTTCTTGAAAACAACAAAAAAACAAGAACCAACTTCCCCTAGCCTGCCATCTACCCTTGTCCTTTTATCCTAGAAAACCTAAACCTGGCTTGTTTCATTCTGGCTTTTGTCAAACTACTGCTCTTGACCACTGCACCCCCAATTCCGGCCTCACCCCCACTCCCAGAAGCGGAATGGAAGCTGCTGTGCCTCTTAGGAATAAGACAGCAGGTTAACTACCACAGCAGCCACAGGCTAGTATCAAGGCTAGTTTTCCTAGAATTCTGCAAGTGAAACTATTAACTGCACCAATGATTTCAGTTCCTTCTTATCTTTTTTCAAGGGGCTTTGTCTTTTTTCTGCCTTAAGGATCCATTCTTTGCTGCTACATCAACGTCAGTTTTCAATCTGTTTAAGTTCCATTTAAATGTAAAATATGTGGCAAATATGCTGTTACTAATACCAGATAGAGCTTCAAATTTTGTTCAAGATTCTCTCTCTAAAACAGGTATCCAGCCGTCCTTAACATAACTGTCCTGGGTTGCCATGTTGGTTTCTTTTTTGAGCAGGATAATGGCTTCCACAGGTGCATGAGTGTCTGGATTAAGTTATGTGAAATCCGGGTTTATGAAAAGATTGAGGGGGAGCCTGGGTCGCTCAGTGGGTTAAGCCTCTGCCTGTGGCTCGGGTCATGATCTCAGGGTGCTGGGATTGAGCCCCGCATCGGGCTCTCTGCTTAGCGGGGAGCCTGCTTCCCCATCTCTCTCTGCCTCCCTTTCTGCCTACTTGTGATCTCTGTCAAATAAGTAAATAAAATCTTTAAAAAAAAAAAAAAAGACTGAGAACTGCTCGAGGACATTAGTCAGAGATTTCTTAGATTTCATAGTACTAATCCCCCACAAATGAAATTCCTTTAAGTACACAAATCTGCTCAAATATTTCAGTATTTTGTCCATATGAAACAAATGCCCTCATGTTAGCTCTCACTCTGCTTTATGAGGTTGGTTCAAACCTATAAAAACAATTACTTAGGCAAATATATCTCCGTTACAATTTTCAAATCTAAAACATGTTTTCAAAGTCTTTCATCACAATATAGTATACTTCAGAAAAAATAATATATTCCAAGTTGGAGAAACACTAACTTTATAGTTGAATTATAAATTTTACCTGTCTACAAGAATTTGATTGGTTTTCTTCCAATCTTCAACTGCAGAAATTTCCTTTGCCTCCAGTTTCTGTTTCAAACTATTTATTTCTGATTCATAATAAGCTCGAAGATCCGCTATGTGTCGAGCATGCTTTTCCTTGAGGTTCTGCCTAATTCTGTGGTTGAGGGGAAAAAAAAAATTTAGGAGAGCATTTCCTCACTCTCTATCCCATAAGAGAAACCAAGAACACAATCTCTTGTAATCAAAAGTACAGCCTTTTTCCTCTGCACACCCACAGAAAACATAACAGATTAATACACACGTTGACAACTAATTAAGCAAAAAAAAAAAAAGACATGGATCAATTTTTAAATGTTCTCCCTTAAAAATGCTGTATCTCTAAGATTTTATATGTTAGGGACGGTCAATAAAAACTGTTACCATCATTCAAGCAGATGTCATACAAAATCGGCTAACGTTACAAGCCATGCACTGAAATACATACTTGGAGAGTATCACAGGATCTTCCAGGGAAGCCAAGGAAATGCATTCTGGGACACTGCTGACTGTCCCTGGAAGCTGGGACTGACTGACTGAGGCTGAGGTTCCCATGACAGTGTTTTCTTCATCTACAGTGTTGACCGAGATGTCATTACTATTAACAGTATAAACTGAAGGAAACGTGGAACTGGTCCTACTTTCATTCTGGAATCCATGATTTTTCCAAGAGTCCACTGGTGAAGTTTTTGTATTTGAGGGATATTTTGGGAATCCAGATAACTGAGAAGCGATATTACTTGCTTGTGAAAATGAGTCTATGTCAGAGTGACTAGACATAGTAGGTTCTAGAACAGAGTCTGGTGAAAAGGATATTCTGTCATCAAGGGCATTCAAAAAGGCCTGTGGTTGAATCCCTGAAATCTGATTTGGCTTCATGTGTAACGTCGGATCTAGAGTTAGTACCTAGAAATAAGACAGACAACAGTAAGGTTTTGCCCTCAGTACTCAGTGTTTGTTTTTAAGTGAGTAGGCTTTAGATCTCCTAGGGAAAATAAAGCTTAAGATAAAAGTTAGGAGTCATGAAGCAGCTTTCATTTTCAGTCAGCAGAGTGTTGACAATTTACCTCTGGTGGATGATTTGGGTTGGAAGGAGAAGTGAGATTCCTCTCAGGTAACTGCTTGTTTTCCCTTTGTTTTTTATGATAAATATCCTTCAGTGATGGTAGCTTCATCTCATTACTAGTATTAGACTTAAAGATATGAAACAAAATTATTTGAATGGTATTATCAATGATGAAAAAAGTTTACTGGTATCAAGATCAGCACCACAAAAAGATTCTTGAGAGATTTTAAATGAACTGAGCCTCTATACTATTGGACTTAGAAAACAAATTTAGAAGTCATTACCTGTTAATTATGAATCTCCCTCAGAATGAAAAAAATTAATATCCCCTAACAATAAATATTAAGGTGATAATCTGAATAAATATTAAGGTGATAATCTGAACTAAATAATAACTAAATATTATTTAGCAGCCTAAGAATACTTCTAAAGAATTAAAAACTTTGGTAGCCCCTCTGATTCAAGATAAAAAAAATCAAATTTTGAGGTAAGAAAAGACTTCATCATGAATAACCAAAGCACGATGAGAAGAGTTCTGATTAAATTAGTATCATGACTAATCTGACTCAAGGGGACAGGTATAGGGGTACCTATGTAGTTATTTTCCTACTTTTTTTAAGATTTATTTATTTTTTTAAAGACTTTATTTATTTATTTGACAGAGATCACAAGTAGGTAGAGAGGCAGGCAGGGGTTGGGGGAGCAGGCTCCCTGCTAAGCAGAGAGCCCGAAGCAGGACTCGATCCCAGGACCCTGAGATCATGACCTGAGCTGAAGGCAGAGGTTTTAACCCACTGAGCCACCCAATGCCTAAAGACTTATTTATTTTAGAGGGAGGAAGAGGATTGAGCCCATACACACAAGCAGGGGGAAGGGCAGAGGGGAAGAGAGAGACAGAGAGAATCCTCAAGCAGACACCCCACTGAGCGAAGGACCACCCCACCCATCACACAGGGGTCAATCCCAGGACCCTGAGATCACGACCTGAGTGGAAATCACGAGTTGGATGCTCAACAGACTGAGCTACCCAGGAGCCCCTCTCTATTTTTTTAAGAGTTGGCAGAACAAAAAAAAAAAAAAAAAGGGTTAAGAAACAAGTTACCCAGTGGAAATAAGACCCTTTTAAAAACTCTTAAAATAAGAAGGCATGACCCTAGTTACAGCTTGAAGTCAGGGCTCTGCCACGCTGGAAATGTGGCAAAGAGGTCTAAGCTCCAAACATTAAAATCTCAGCCTTAAATTATTTCCAGGTGGGATCTATTGCAGGGCATGGCTGTGGATCATTTAACCCCGGGTCTCAAATAGAAACGATGGACTTTCTCTTAAACGAGATTACAGATTCAGCAAGAGGTACACTGAAAGCATTGAAAGAATACATTCACAAGGGGCTTCAAGTTTGTGTCCAATTTCCAGACCCTACACAGCCTGCAGAATGCCATGAATTAATTTTTTTTAAAGATTTTATTATTTATTTGACAGAGATCACAAGTAGGCAGAGAGGCAGGCAGAGAGAAAGGGGGAAGCAGGCTCCCCGCTGAGCAGAGAGGCTGACATGGGTCTTGATGCCAGGACACTGGGATCAGGACCTGAGCCAAAGGCAGAGGCTTTAACCCACTAAGCCACCCAGGCGCCCCTGAATTAATATTTTCAAAAAAGCCCTTTAACTAGCTTGTGAATAAGATGATTAAATTTTTTTGTGTGCATGGGGGCACCTGGGTGGCTCAGTCGGTAAAGCGTCTGACTTTAGCTCAGGTCATGACCTCAGGGTCCTGGGATCAAGCCCCACATGGGGGGAGGCATGGGAGGAGGTCCTCAGGGTCTCTGCTCAGCGGGGAGTCTGCTTGTCCCTCTCCCTCTGTCCCTCCCCCTGCTCATGCCTCTCTCTCTCTCTCAAATAAACAAAATCTTAAAAAACAAAACACACACATACAGACCTTTTTGAGTGTGCATTAAAGGAATTAATTTGTTGACTGTAAACTCTTAAAATTAATAATTTCCGTAATGCTATTTTGGAATTTTACTTTTTATATACCAACGACCCAAAGGCCCTTTCAAGACTCCCAGCCTGTAACAAGGAGAGTGCTCTGGTTGTGGCCTTGAGCCTGAGGAGTTCCTCCCTAGGGGTTCGGGTGAGCAGTTGCAATTCCTCTATATAGAGCTCACAGTAGAACCATTTTTCACCATTTTCCACGTCTAGGATTTCTTTCCATATTTTAACATCTCTGAAGTGAGAATGCCTCTTGTAATAAATGGCATCTTACACAGCTTCCGGTCAAGTAGCAATTACGACCTAATTGTCATTGCCTGCTCAAAAGTAAGTATCGAAGACATCAAAATTGGCCAAACAGGTGTCAGCAGCTGGAAGAAAATCCTAGAGACTACATCAGAACCCCTGAGAACCAATATTTAAGGGATGGTGAATCCTGTTTAGCAATACTCCCGCATCTGGGAGCCAAACATAGGCCAGTTCTAGATGACCACTAAAGCCAGATAAAAACAGCACCAAGGCCTTTCCTCCTTTTTTAAAGAAATGCCACATCCTCAAAGCTCTCGATGGCTCAAGGAAAACAGTATACGAGAAAACAGAAACCCACACTGAGTTGAAGAGAGTTGTGTAAGCCTCTGTAGGTGAAAAAGTTTTAACAAACTTATATTACTTATATTGTCCTTTTTATGTGTGTTTAAGATTTCTTTGATAAAAATCAATGTTTAATTAGGTCTATGAGCTCTTTCAATAAGAATAAAATACATATTCTACTATTACAGTGCTCTCTTGGTAATTTTGGGAGGGGTGAGAATATGAAACAGGAAGTCTTAAAGGCAACAGTGTCTTAGCATCACCAAAATACTGTGTCCATTTGCTGGTGGTACAGATTACGTCATGCACACGGTGACCCCTGCAATCACAAAGCCCACTGAGCCTTCCGGCCCCTCACAGTCTCATTCCTCAGCTTTTCCCATCCTTTCCTGAAGGATGGGATGCTGGATTCCGCCCCATTGTAGGACTCTGATGCCTACACATATGTTGTTCCCCCAGGGCCCCGCCGATGCCGGTCAATCATGCTTACGGCTCTCCTGGTTACTTTCAATGTAATCCCTTCTTTTCCCCAAACTACCTTCTCACCACCTGACCAAAACATGGACATACACAAGCTGGATAGTTTTATTTCATTATTCTGAAGAAAATACATTTCTCACTCAAAGAAAATTAACTACGGCAAATTAAAATACTCAAAATTATGGTACAAATGGATTAGCAGGAGGGCGTAATAGGTTGGAGAATCAAAACCAGGTGTAGAAACAGCAGAAGCAGTTTTCTGCGGACCTGCTGGATTTAGAATCGTGGGCACAAAATCATCTCATTTCATTTTACAACACAGTAACTGGACATTTCTAATTCTACTCTTAAGTAAGTTTCCTATGATCACGTAAGGCAATGAATGAGAGACCACATTTGAAAGCAGGTATAATTTACAGCCCAGGCTTTTTTTAATATATCAAATTGGAAAACACAAAATTTATAATGAAACGGCATACTTAACTATACCTGTATAATGCAAACACCCACCCACAATGTGTTTTTAAATTACCTGGCTGGGGGACATATCTGTGCAGGAGGCTGGTGCAAACGTCTTCTCTAAAGTTTCAGGCAAAGAGCGATACATGTCCTTCTCCTCCAGCTTCCAGTAAGTCAGTCCTATGGCACACAAATAAGACAACATAGAAGACTGAGGAAAGAGAATAAAAATGCTCTCTAGGAGAGCTTATTTCTACTTAAAGAAAATTACATACGGGGAGTGCCTAGTTTTAGGCTATCTGGGAAGTTGAATTTTGATGGCATAGAATCTCTTAATTGCCTTACATATAAGAGTTCTAATTTAATGATCCAAATATTTAAAACTGAAATGTACTACTACAAGGCAAAATATGGGGCTCCTGGCTGGCTCAGGTGAGAGAGCACGTGACTCTGGATCTCGGGGTGGTAAATTCAAGCCCCATGTTGGGTGCAGGGATTATTAAAAAAAAATTTTTTTTTTTTTTTTTGAAGTCAAGATAAACTAGTACAATCTAAAATGTACTTCGGGGCACCTGGGTGGCCTCTGCCTTTGGCTCAGGTCATGATCTCAGGGTCCTGGGATCGAGTCCCGCATCGGGCTCTCTGCTCAGCAGGGAGCCTGCTTCCCCCTCTCTCTCTCTGCCTGCCTCTCTGCCTACTTGTGATCTCTCTCTGTCAAATAAATAAATAAAATCTTGGGGCGCCTGGGTGGCTCAGTGGGTTAAAGCCTCTGCCTTCGGCTCAGGTCAAGATCCCAGGGTCTTGGGATCGAGCCCCACATCAGGCTGTCTGCTCAGCAGGGAGCCTGATTCCTCCTCTCTCTCTGTCTGCTTCTCTGCCCACTTGTGAACTCTGTCAAATAAATAAATAAAATCTTAAACATAAAACAAAATATACATCGTAAAAGACAATTTCTTTATGAACAGTACAGAAAATGCAATATAAAGAATTCAATGGTTCAAATACACATTGTTTACTGTGCCAGGCCGGCAAGCAGGAAATATGAGACATGAACAGTAAATAAGTCACAAGGTATACCCAGAAGGTTAGAAGGCGGTAAGCACCCTAATGGTTAAGATTTAAAAATCGGGTAAAAGGAAATATGTGTGTTATGTGTGGAGGGGTGCTCGGGGTCGGCTCATTGCAAGACAGAGTAAGCATTTTAGCCCTGAGGGAGGTCCCCTACGTAAGAGATGGGGAGAACATTTCAAATATAGAAAGCAGCAAAGCAAAACCCTAAAAGGAGACCATATCTGGCACATTTAAGCCAACAGCCTTGCTGCTGAAGCAGAGAGGAGGAGCCGCAGAAAATGAGGTCAAACAAAACAAGGCTAGACCTTGTTGCGCCTGTGGGTGCCGACGAGGACTTAGGCTGCTCTTCTGAGGGAAAGAGCACAGTGGGGTTTTGAGCAGAGAAGTCACATGATCTGACCCCTCTTTAAGAAGGACCCTACAGGCTGTTGAGCACAGATGGAAGGGTGCAAGGGTAAGGGCAGGGAGGCTGGGCAGGAAGCGGCAGAAACCCAGGTGACAGGTGATGGGAGCTCTCTGAGGGGTGGCAGCATGATGGGGGTTGAATTCTGGCAGTTTTCATCCTGCAAGGCTAATTCATCCTGACAAACCGCATGTGGGATCGTGGGGGGAAGAAAATCAGTAGGTTACATCATTGAAGCTAAAATAAGCTTACCACGGAGAGTAAGGACGGCTCACAAAGGGTTTGCATTTCTTAATTCACTCTGGAGCACCTGGAAAATGCTGAGATGCCTTCTGCAAGGGTTTAAATAACTGTAAAAGTATTTTTTTCCATCTATCCTTCTAGAATGTGTAACACAAATCAATGCAAGTAAGGAAGTCAGACTTAGAGGCACAACACAACATATAACGGATTTACAGAAACCGCTCTATTACGCCATATAGCATCATCATCCTATTAGAAGTTGTTATAAAAAAATGACTATCATACCTGTTCCTGAATCAGACATCCAAGAATTTGGACTCTCATCTGGTTTGTTGAGGTAAAAAGCATGAGGATGCTTAGCAGCAGTGAAATGAGACTACAAGGCAAGAGAGAGAACTGTGAGTTCACAGCTGAAAATCATTAGGCAGAAACTGCTGATCCAAGGAATGAAAGCCCGGTGTCAACCCCCGAGTAGAGAAAAGTCTCAGAGGGTTCACGAAGAAGGAGGAAAGCCTGGGTTTCCCCACGATGACAGGAACGTACAATGATAGGAACTAACCGTGAAGGATCTTCTTCTCCTGTGTGCTTACAAAAGTTTATTTGGGAGAACAACACCGGCAATTGGAGCTACTTAATGAACTCAGGAAGAAAATGTATTTATAATTTGCCAGTTATATCCGAAAGAAATTCAAAATGCCTGGAATTAAAGTCATGTAGGGTCAAAATTAATGCGAAAGCCCTAATAATTCATTTTTATCATTAAAAGTACAATAATTCAAACTCTGAAAACTGCATTCAGTAATCTATATGAACTTCAAGTAGTAAACTATGTCTTTGTATAGGCAACCGGTTACTAACTGCAGAAAAAGCTCGAAATGCTTGCTTATCACCGATTCTGATAAAAATACTGAGCCAACCACTCCTTGCGGTGTCTCTAGCATTGTCAAGAAATTTAACAGAAGAGCATTTTTATCAGAATTTTTCTTGTCCGCTCCACCATCATCAAACTTTTAGTTTTTGTTAAGAAGTTTTTTTTTTTAATTTTTCAGAAAGGAGCTTTTTTTTTCTTTCTTAAAGATTCCATTTATTGGGCACCTGGGTGGCTCAGTGAGTTAAAGCACCAGTCTTCAGCTCCAGTCATGATCTCAGGGCCCTAGGATCGAGCCCCATGCTGGGCTCCCTGCTCAGCGGGAAGTCCGCTTCTTCCCCTCTCCCTGGTCTCTCTCTCAAATAAATTAAATCAAGGAATAAGAAAGAAGGGAAGGAAGGAAGGAAGACATTTTCTTATTCTGCCAACGTAATTCAATAAAAAAAGCAACTTTCAGGGGCAGCTCAGTGGGTTAAGTACTCTGCCTTCGGCTCAGGTCATGATCTCAGGGTCCTGGGATCGAGCCCCGCATCGGGCTCTCTGCTCGGCAGGAAGCCTGCTTCCCTTCCTCTCTCTCTGCCTGCCTCTCTGCCTACTTGTGATCTCTGTCAAAAAAATAAAATTAAAAAAAAAAAAAAAAGCAACTTTCACCCCCATCTCCAAATACTATCATGCTCTCACACCAAACAAGGATATAGCATTGTGACGGCTGATGGCACATGGGTTCAAAAGAACAGTTCTATGAAGGCAGTACTACAGGGCACTTGCGGGTCTTGGAGGCTCGGCGGCTTCTGTAGCCTCCTGAACCCTCACTTCCCTCCTGAACACAAAGCGGAATACGTTCAAGAACAGTGATAGGAAGAAGCCTAAGTACCACTGGCTGGCAAATGAAAATTTACTGAAAGAAAAAAGAACAGTGCTTTAGGAAGGCTGAGGGATTGTCTCCCTATGACTTCTATTTATTTTTCACAGGATGATGGAAAGACCATGTTTATGATGATCAAGAAGTGGTCAATTTCTAAGGCTACCAAGTTTGCAGAGACCGGATTTTGCAATATCAATGTGTTATACTAAACAATGTTACTCTGTGATAATTTAAGCCAAAAGGGCTTCAAAGGGCTTAAAACTTGCTCATATCTGTAACTCTTCAACAAAAACAGCTGCTAGATTAGCAAAACTGCCACACAGAATTTAACCATGCAATCTCTCACAATTTGGGTTATAAATTCAGAGTTGTCTTGAAGCATTCACACATACAGTACTACTTCTTACAACTTCATAGTAATACAAATTATTTGAGGGCTTAAAAAAAAGTTAAGCGGATCACTCTCTGACCAAATGTAAACAGTCGCAGTACAAAGCGAGTCAGGACCCTTACAAAATGAGTTTCACTTTTTTTTTTTTTTCCAGATTTCTTTATTTGACAGAAAGAGAGATCACAAGTAGGCAGAGAGGCAGAAAGAGAGAGAGGGGGAAGCAGGCTCCCTGCTGGGCAGAGAGCCCAATGTGGGGCTCAATCCCAGGACTCTGGGATCATGACCTGAGCCACCCAGGCGCCCCTCACTTTTTTTTTTTTTTTTCAAGAATTTTTTTTTTTTTTTGATAGAAAGAACACAAGCGCAGAGAGAGGGGGGGAGAGAGAGAGAGAGGGAAGCAGGCTCCCCGCTGAGCAGAGAGCCCGATGCGGGGCTCGATCCCAAGACTCCGAGATCATGACCCGAGCCAAAGGCAGCGGCCCAACCCACTGAGCCACCCAGGCGCCTCCGCCCCTCACTTTTTATAGTACTTTACCCCTCATTAGTTTTGATTTCCAGACCACTAAAGAACCAGTACTTAGAGCAAATTATTGTTTCCAATCCTTTGAGACACCCGAAGGCAGATAGGTCAATGGAAAAATTAATACCACAAAAGAAAGGGCCAAAAACTTATGCTGATGAGTGTGTAGTAAACTCCACGTAATTATCAGTGGCTGAAACATGGCAGAGTAAAGGGACTTATCACCCACCTTCTCCACTGGTGATTTCTTGGCCAGCTCATTTCCTTGCATAGGTTTTGAACACCCCTCTTCTGTAAGTGCTCTCTTTGGTTGGTTCTGCTTCAGCTTTTGTGCCCATGATGTTATCGATTTACTATTCAAAAAAAGAAAACCAAAGTTATTCTCTTTAGAAGCTGTCCTTCACACATAAAACTAAACACTAGTTGAGAGTGGAAAATGTTTTGAGTTGTTTTTCTAATAGCAGGGAACAGATGGATTTTTATTGATTCACCTAAATTTCTTCTTACAATTTTCTATTACCAAAGGCAAAGTGAACAAAAAAAAACCTAACAGTGATTAATAATACACATAGCTGTAGCCATAGAACAAAACCAATCACAGTGGCCCACTCAAGTGCTCAACATCTCTCTCGAGCAAAATCTTTATTTACGAGGACTAGTAATGATTACTAATAGGTACACAAGATCTGTGTTGTTATAGGTGAACACTTATCTTAGAGGACACACTTTAGAGCTATAAAACTGAACATTTAGGGTAAATGACATAATTTTAAATGATTATTTGCTTTACAAACATCCAGCCACAGTTGTCATTAAACTTACAAAAGTTCCTCTTATATATAAAAAGCATTAAATATACTTGTGTATGATGTTTGGTTTCAAATTATACGCACATCTGTGACAATACTCCACTGTTGATACAATCCCATACTCTAATTTTCAGTAAGTTTATAGTGACCAGAAAATATAAAAAGGTATTTTTCTGGCAAGGCCTCCCACCTTAGGAGGTCAGTAGTCTCACAACGTTGCAAATGGGAAGAAAGTCAGACATTGGTAATATATCGTATGCTTTATTTCCATTTGCCACAGGCAATAAATACAAGACTTTAGTAAAGCTCCTAAGTGTTCAAAGACATCTCATTTCATTATACTCAAAAAGGAGCTTGCTTTACTAGATTCTAAATGTAATAAACAAGCAAACCTCCCTTCAAAGGATGGAGAAATTCTACTCACCTATTTGTTTTCCCACTGTATACTTCTGAAATCTTATTTTCGCCAAGAAAGTGGTGTTCAAACTCACCAGGAAAAATAGAAATATCTTCCTTTAAAGATGCACCCAACACTTCAGTGGTGTGTATATGAAAACTCTTGTTTTTTACACCATCTACAGGTGACTCCGTCTGCCCCAAAGGCACTCCAAACTGTCCTTCAGAAACCTCTGCGTGCTCCATGATCTCGGGCGGGTCCTTAGATTTGTAGGCATTTAATTCGGAGACACAAAAGGTGCCATACCCACTGCTCACTGAGCTACTGTCCATGCTGCCCTCTGGTTGGGACGTGGCTGTTCCTTGCTGCATTTCGGGTTCTGTAGACTTAGGATAACTGATAATAGGTTCATTTCTCTCACTGTTTTCAGAATAAAAACCCATTTGACTTTCTGAAGATAACTGTTTGCTTAAAGAACTATCGGAGGAAGCCCAGGAAGAATTACTGGTCTGTAACTTGACTAAGTTTTTTATCTCTTCCTGTATTCGCTGCAAATAAAGTTATAGATCTGGGTGAGAAAGTATATTAAACATTACCTTTGTGTAAATACTCTGAAAATATTGCTTAAAAATAAGAGATATTAAAGACAGTCTGGTTTAGTTCAAAAACAAAACCGGTAAGAAGTATTAACTGCTTCCTCTTCCAAATCTGACAATTAAAAAAAAAAAAAAAAGAATCAATATAAGTAACAACTTACTTGAATTTGGTTGTGGAACTGCTCCTGCTGGGCGACTATCTGTTGTTGGCATTGTTTTTCCACCAGACTGAATAGCTGTAACCACCTGGTCTATTAAATTATAAAATATTTTAGTTAAAAATAATTGTTCATGTAATAGTCACAGAAAAATTCTTCCAGTGGGAAAAGGCCTTTTGAAAATATATTTTTAATGTAAAATGGATAAGCTCGATTAAATAGCTATAAAGCTAGATTTAATGCAAAAATAGAAAGGCACAGGCATGGTCACCCCTCTCTTATGTAACCTACAGTCTGGGTAAATCTTGTTTTTCACATGGCATCTTAATTTGATGTCACCAGCTCTCATTTCTGATTCAACAAGAATTGGCAGTTGTACTTTATATTTGTCTTGAATTTTTCTTCCTCCTAACGGCTAATGATTTTCTTAAACAATTCTTAGAAAAAAGAACCCCACGCCTTAAGACAAGAAATAATGTGGTATTGGGGCGCCTGGGTAGCTCAGTGGGTTAAAGCCTCTGCCTTCGGCTCAGGTCATGATCCCAGGGTCCTGGGATCGAGCCCCACATCGGGCTTTCTGCTCAGCAGGGAGTCTGCTTCCCTCTCTCTGCCTGCCTCTCTGCATACTTGTGATCTCTCTCTCTCTCTGTCAAATAAAAAAATAAAATCTTAAAAAAATAAAAAATAATAAAAAATAAAAAAATAAAATTTAAAAAAAAAAGAAATAAATAATTTGGCATTGTGGGATTTAAACCCCTAATTTACTTGTTATTTAAGTGTAAAACAAAAACAAAAGAACCTTTTTCAAGTCAGATACTGAAGTGTCAGCACTACAGCTGAGAGAGGAATGAGAAACTCCCTCTGAAAACCCATGGAACTGGACTAGCCCTCCTTTCTGTCACTGCCAGGTCCTGACCCATCGGACTCTCAAGCGAAGTCAGTGCTCTTACAACCAGACTGCAAAAGCAGGAAAGGGGGCAAGGAGACGTCCAGAGGCTAAATTCAGTGTCAAGGCTGGCGTTCTTTCAGTAACAGACTCTTGGCAATAATACACAATAGGTAGCTACCGTGAAAAAGAGCTTCCCTTACAAATCATTTCATTCTCTTTCCATTCCCATATTCCTTACAGGGCCGAGAGATCCAGGCCACGCACACCTCCCAACTTCATCCCATCCCTCTCACTCAGTACCTACCAGCCTCACTGGCCTCTCTCTACCTTTTTCCTGAACCTGCCAAAACTGTCTTCCACCTCAAAAGCTTTGTCCTCACTGTACCCTCTACCTAGAAAGCTCTCTCCAGGTCTTATCACGGCTTCTGCCCCTTCTTGCAATTACAGCTTAACTTCTCGAAGACAGTTGCCCAAACCATCCCATAGTTGATCTCTACATGTCATCCTGTGCATTGCCTTCATAGCCTTTAGCACAGAGAGCATCCCGTTTGTTCACTCTGTTAACTCATCATTAAGCACGTAGGATGCAGTGCCAAGAAAAGAATGGGGACTCGGATATACAATCTGAGTGAGTGTATGAAAATGGGAACTTCGGGGCCGCCTGGCTGGCTCAGTCAGTGGAACACGCAACTCTTGATCTCAGGGTCATGAGCTTGAGCCCCATGTTGGGGTAGAGTTTACTTTAAAAAAAATGTATATGTGAATTTCAAGCTCATTTTTCCTTGGTATTACAGACTACACATTCCAGAGGCCCTTCAGATTAAAGTAACCACAACAGAGCAGAATTAAAATAAAAGATACAGAACAGTATTAACGTAAAGGAAATAAAAACTCTCAGGATTGGAAAAGGAAATTTTCGAACAGAAACAGAACGGTACTGATAGGAAGTATTAATTCTAAATCAACTAACTTCAGGATAAGGTAGGTTACACCAAATTCAGTTCCTTATCTTCTCTACTTATCTACAACACGAAGTATCTTAGTCAAAACAAAAATCAGGCAATAGTTTTTTTTATTAAGTTATACTAACTTAAATACTTTAGGAGTTATTTTAACCTGATAAAGTTATTAGTCACACAGAACTAAATTACAACAATGATAGAATAACATACATAACAACGATAACCAAAAAAACCCCAAAAAATGGCTTCATATTATGTGACACACTTAATGCTAATCACAACCTAATTATTATTTTCTTATTTAAGATATGAATGAATGGAGCTTACTAAGGATATAAATTGGTGGAGATTTTGTTCTTCCTAGTCAGATTTTATATTTTAATTTTCAATAAACATATTTAAGAACATTATCAATGCAGCAAATAATATTATTCACGTAATTATTAGGACTATGATTCATTTCTAACTAAAATTATTTATGTGACCTGCATTTTACACACGTTGGAGGACTTGGGCGTCTAATTAAAGCTATCCCTTGCATACAGCTTTTGATGCTATTAGCCTAAAAGGGGTTTTTATAATCTCGCCTTGCAAATATCCCAATGACTTTGACATCCTAGGCCTGATTCCCAGCTCTCCACTAACAACCTGAGTGGTCCTCAATAAGTAAATTTCATTTGTGCTTCTTATGAATTTCTAAAATGGGAAGAGTAACACTGCATAGGTAGCTGGGAGGATTAAATTTTAAATTCAAATATGATGCATGTGAAGCGGTGATCTCAATGGAGGAACTGTATTTTGAAAAACTGTGAGGCCATGGCTGTCACAAAGATAGCGAGGGCGCTACCAGCACTCGGTGGGTCCAGGGACACACATCACAGGATGGTCCCCAACAAGGAAAAACTGTCCTGGGTCTATTTTATATTATAAAAATACCAAATATTTTGCTTAGCTCTCAAATCACCAAATCGTCCAGGAATCCCACTACGAAGATGTTAAGTTCGTTTCAGAACTTGATCAGAAGTTGGTCACTGTTTCAGAAAATCATGTCACCAAATGCAGTGCTGGGTCATCAGTACAACACAGCTGGATCAGTCTGTGTCTATCACTGCTGCTTCACAGTGAGTCTACGTGTCAACCCCAGATTGTGCTCCATTACGCCTTCTGATGGGGGTGTGCTGGGCACTTACATGCTGAAACACCTGTTTTCGGATTATAAGTAACTTTGATTCCTCCTCTTTATCACGATTAAGAGGATGACTGTTTTTATGGTAGGTACAGGCAGATGTATCTGTGAACTGCATTTCAGGATAATATAAGTTGATGTCACTTTAAAAATTGTCAAGTGTGAACTGTCAAATGTAAAATGTAAACTAGTAAATTAATGGTAAAATTATAAAATAAGGGCTTTGGGTCTAATAAGATTGAGTGCCATTGACAAAAGGTACCTAGTATACTGCTTGGCAAATAGACACTCAATAAATGGTACTTAAAATAACTATTATTATATAACCATTACCCTTACATATATAATCAGTAGCACTAAATAGTGAAAATGCAAAAATAATGACTTAAGACAAATTAGCTAATAATGTGCTTTTAAAAATTTACCATCAGAGAAATATTAGCAACAGTAAGCATTTAAGAATATATTAAAGTAGGGGCTCCTGGGTGGCTCAGTGGGTTAAAGTCTCTGCCTTCTGCTCAGGTCCTAATCCCAGGGTCCTGGGATCAAGCCCCACATCGGGCTCTCTGCTCAGCAAGGAGCCTGCTTCCTCCTCTCTCTGCCTGCCTCTCTGCCTACTTGTAATCTCTGTCTGTCAAATAAATAAATAAAATCTTTAAAAAAATATTAAAGTAATTCTACATAATTGTGTTAAACATTATTTTCCATTAATCAAAATACATAACCTTCTCAAGTTTAAGGAATGATAAACCTCAGAATTCCAGAAAAGAGGTTTTAGAAAGAAATTCTGAAGAAATTAGATCTCCAGAGCTCTGAGCTCCATGGAAGGTTTTAAGTTTTGCTTTAATAACATAGATTAATCCCTTACAAATGGCAGAAATCAGACAAATGTTACTACTCCAAAAAAAAGATGAAAATATGAAATTCAGGGAAAGAGTCAGGAATAAGACTTGAACAATCCTTACCCCTCCCATTCTTCCTAAAATGCTACACACTAAAATCTCAGAGGATTGTGTTTTTGTATGCTACAAAACACACTAATAAATTGGAGAGATTTTACTGAAATGACCAGAAGAATACTTCATATCCTGCCAAAGTAAGAAATATCTTAAGAAATGATTCACTAAACAATTACATGTCTACATTATAAAAATTAAGTAGCCAATTAATATTAAATATAAAATAATAATGTTATATCAGAGATGAAGGGGAAAGGAAAAGAAACTGGCTCAAATGCCAAGGTGTCAAGTAGCACGTTGGTATGTTGCCTTATAAAAATCTGTATCTTAAATTCACAAATACATTCTGATTCTAGGATGCTGATTTCAAAGTATTAAAAAGTAACAATTTCTGGGGCGCCTGGGTGGCTCAGTGGGTTAAGCCGCTGCCTTCGGCTCAGGTCATGGTCTCAGGGTCCTGGGATCGAGTCCCGCATCGGGCTCTCTGCTCAGCGGGGAGCCTGCTTCCCTCTCTCTCTCTCTGCCTGCCTCTCTGTCTACTTGTGATCTCTCTCTGTCAAATCAATAAATAAAATCTTAAAAAAAAAAAAAGTAACAATTTCTAGTTAAACATGAATTTGCCAGAAGAGCAATGCCTTATTTTTTTTAAAAACATATTAATTCAGGTTCATAAGCTAATGAATAAGTATATTAAAGTAAATATTTCAAAAAATATTCCATTTTTAATTGTATCATTTTACAGGTCTCTTGCATTAGCATATACTGATTATTATATGGAAAAAACAAAAATTGCAAATACTTAAAATTCAATTTTTCCTAAAGTTTGCAATAATAGTCATTTTTATAATATGGATAATGAATACAAATAATTACTTAAGGGTGGCTGCTTCTGAATCCTTAAACCAGGTATTTTTTCATTCCACTTATTATACATTTTGAAAATAACACAAGTAATAGTTTGTATGATAAACATTTTTTAAAATTAAATAAAAATAAATTTAATAAAAAATACATTTAATAAAATCTACTGTTCCCTAAATAAAGAATTTAATAAAAATGTTTTATACATTTCTATAAAGCATTACAAAATCCAGCCTGTGAAAAATCTAACCTGGGCATAATTCTGTGAAACAAAATTTATAGATATGTATTCTTTTAACTGCTAAATTTTTATATCACAATTTAACCTGTGGGCCAAAGAAAGAAACAATTCTGAAAAATCAATATAATTCAACATATCACAACTAAATGTGATAAGGCATAACTAAAAAGAAGTCTTAATTTATTAGTGGAGCATTCAAAATATTTCAAAGAGCATTTAGGCTTTTTTTTTTTTTTTTTTTCAAAATGGTAACAATTTTGTATGACTTACTTAAAACATTAGAATTAGTAACAATAGTAATAATTTTGGAATTCTCACTTCTCTGAACAAAGCTAATATTTTAGTTGACATTTAAAATATAAATTAGTGTGGCTCATCACTAATCTTTGTTCAAACATATTCTTGATCATCTTTTCCATATTGTTTGATATTGTTCCCCAATTACTATATTTGACCATTTCACTCTAGCAATAAGAATCACTCTCTTTAGGATACAAATTTCTAATAATGTAGAATTCAGTAGAGGCACATTTACAAATATATTTTTTAAAATTCCACAAATAAAACAAAACTAGATACCTCACAGTTTTTCCAAAGTTCCGAATCAGTCCTTCCACTGTTTTGTAGCTCTTGCATTAAAGAGGTTAGGACTTCAACTGTACCTTGAATTACGGATGGTCTGGTCTTCCCTGAGAAAGAGGATACCCCATTTGTACTAAGGTGGGGACTACTTCTGTTGAAACATAAATAATTCAAATGGTTTTCTTCATTCTACCAAAGTGTTGAATAATTCAGCAGTTCAAGGTTAGCAGAGCAGTACAAAACCACTGACATTTAATCCTTCTTAATGGCACCTCGTTTGTTGAAAATCTGATCACATTTGTCCACAAAAGGAAAATAGCAGTAAAGAGACAGCACTTTTTTTTTTTTTTTTTTTTTTTTTTTAAAGAACCCAACAGAAAGACCATCTCCAGAAGTGGGAGAACACTCCAAAGCACCAGCAGAAAATAAAAGTTTCTGCTGTACGATAAGAAAAAGGTCCAGCTTTCTCCAATCTAAATCATTCCGGAGGATTATTTTCCTCTACTGTAAGAACAGCCCTTTTTCTGTAGTGCAGTTTCTTTCTCCACTGCCCAGAATTGCAGTCAAGTCTTGTTAATTGGATCCCCCTAATTTGGTGTGATAAGCTGATGCTTATCTTTGCACCATCTCTGAATAAAAGTTGTGCCAAGCAAATTAGCAGCAAATATTCAGCATTCATTTAGCCCTATTCACTGTGTAAAATACCACTGATTCTTTTCAGGACTGCTTTCCCAAACTTGAGAGGAAGTTATTTCAGATTTGCTTTATAAAAACACAAAGCATAATTAAGGACAATAAACTATGTTTAAATTCCAGTCTAAGAGGTCATTTTCATTTATTTATTGATACCCTATACTGTTTCACAAAGAGTTCATTAAAACACACACACACACACACACACACACACAACACATACACACAACACAACACTGACGAAAATAACAGAAAAACAGTAACGAGGAGAATCAAAGAGTAATAAAAACTCTGGGGAAAGAACAACATACATGCTGTCCATAAGGGGTTACACGGTTGTGTAATCAAGTCTAAATTTGACTGATTTAACTGCCAGTCATAATGAAAAGGGAGACAAGGTCAGTTACATAATCTTCATTAGAAGTGCACATTTAGGGGGTCCCGGGCTGGCTCAGTGGAGCACGTGACTCTTGATCTTGGAGTGGTGAGTTCGAGCCCCATGTTGGGGGTAGGGATTATATATATTTTTTAATTTTACTTTTTTTTAATTTTTATTTTTATTTTTTTTTAAGATTTTATTTATTTATTTGACAGAGATCACAAGTAGGCAGAGGCAGGCAGAGAGAGAGATGGAGGAAGCAGGCTCCCTGCTGAGCAGAGAGCCCGATGCGGGGCTCGATTCCAGGACCCTGGGATCATGACTTGAGCAGAAAGCAGAGGCTTTAACCCACTGAGCCACCCAGGCGCCCCACATTTTTTATTTTAAATAAAATTTTAAAAAACGAAAGGGGAAGGCACATGTAGGTTTCCCCAGGCAAATTATGTTCTAAAACGGATTTCTTCCTAGGGGTCACCAAGTGCTGCAGGAAACGAACTTTCAGTGCGTGGGTACAAATTGTGAAGGCAGCCATCTCTCCCAGACCATTTCCCACACACATTCCCCGCCTTTCACCTTGCTTTTTCATCTTCTATGTTCTTACAAGCTGCCTTAAATTCCTCCCGAGAAAAGCAGAGAATGAACAAACTTTTTAAAGAATTAGTGTATTTATTATATAGTCTCTTCAAGATCTGTTGTGTTAAAAAACCTTTGACCCTTTACCAATAGGCCCCAGACTGCCGTGTTTTTGCTTCATTGTACCTGCTTGTTATAGCTGGTCTCCTCTCTAGTGGGCTTTGCCTCTTGGCTGTTTTTAGGCTATTAGATATTTAGAAATCAAATAATCACGTTTGTCAGATTATGTACAAAATGAGAGCAAGCTGGCTCTGATTAAAAACAAACCAAACACTGGAGAGTTTAAAAAGAAAATGCATAAAATGCATTGTCGGAGAGTATCTATTTTTGTCCACTCACTCAGGGTCTGTTTTTTTCGCTTACTTCCTGGTATTCAACTTTAATTCCTACTTCCCAGATTGGTAAGGTAGTTCTGAAATATTAAACATTATTTGTACTGTTATTTTAAAAATGCAGAAAAACAATATTTAGGCAACTAAAATTTAAAGACATGCTTGTAATCTACCAGAAATTTTAAAACAGTGTAAAGAGGGATGCCTGGGTGGCTCAGTCATTAAGTGTCTACCTTCAGCTCAGGTCATGATCCCAGGGTCCTGGGATTGAGTACAGCATAGGGTTCCCTGCTCAGTGGGAAGCCTGCTTCCCCCTCTCCTTTTGCCCCTCCCCCTGCTCATACTCTGTCAAATAAATAAATAAAATATTTTTTAAAAAATGATGCTTTGGGGCGCCTGGGTGGCTCAGTGGCTAGGCCTCTGCCTTCGGCTCAAGTCATGATCTCGGGGTCCTGGGATCGAGCCCCATATCAGGCTCTCTGCTAGGCGGGGAGCCTGCTTCCCCCTCTTTCTCTGCCTGCTGCTCTGCCTACTTGTCATATCTCTCTCTCTGTGTCAAATAAATAAATAAATAAATAAATAAAAATAAATAAAAATAAAAAATTATGCTTTGGGGTACCTGGGTGGCTCAGTCATTAAGTGTGTCTGCCTTCAGCTCAGGTCATGATCCCAGGTACCTGGTATAGAGCCCTACATCGGGCACCCTGCTTGGCAGAGAGCCCACTTCTCCCTCTCCCCCTGCTTGCACCCCTCTCTCTCGCTAATTAATAAATAAAATCTTACCCAAAAAAAAGGAAAACAAGTATTTTTTCACAATGATCCCCATGCAAAAGTACATTATCTGTGGGAGATATAAAAGGGAAGGGCTGAAACTATTTTTTTTTTTCCGAAGATTTATTTATTTGACACAGACAGCAGGAGAGGGAACACAAGCAGAGGGAGTGGGAGAAGGAGAAGCAGGCCCCCAGCTGAGCAGGGAACCCAAGGCAGGGCTCCATCCCGACCTGAGCTGAAGGCAGACACTTAACAACTAAACTACCCAGATGCCCCTGAAACTATTCTTTTTTTTTTTTTTTTCCCCTCTCAAAGATTTTATTTATTGGGGTGCCTGGGTGGCTCAGTGGGTTAAAGCCTCTGCCTTCGGCTCAGGTCATGATCCCAGGGTCCTGGGATCGAGCCTCCATAGGGCTCTCTGCTCAGCAGGGAGCCTGCTTCCCCCTCTCTCTCTGCTTGCCTCTCTGCCTACTTGTGATCTCTGCCTCTGTCAAATAAATGAATAAAATCTTTTTTTTTAATTTTTTTAAAAATAAAAAAAATTTTTTAAGTATTTACTTATTTATTTATTTGACAGAGAGAGAATGAGAGAGAGTTGAGCATAAAAGGGGGAAGCTCAGAGGGAGAAGCAGACTCCCCGCTGAGCTCAGTGCCAGATGCCTCTCCAGGATCGTGACCCAGGAAGACAACTAATCAAGAAACTGAGCCACCCAGGCGCTCTCCTCAAACTATTCTTAACTAATCCCTGAACAGCTCCTGACAGAGGGCTGTCATTGTTTTTTAAATGTGAACAAATAAGTATGATACTACTTGGATAAACTATGCAAATAAACTTATTTTGATTTGTTGTTACATTTAAAAAAAAATCTATCTATCCCATTCTTACCTATTAGTATTTAAGTTCAGTCCAAAAGACTGGGGAGAACTTTTTATATCAGATTCTAGAGAAGATGAAGGTTTTCGTAAGGGTTTCACCAAATCAAAATCTTCCATATTGTACAGAAATCGTTATACTCTCTTATTTGAAAATGTAGGTTCTTTCAGTGTTTGAAGAAACTGAATCCGAGTCATCTTCAGATGCTTCATCGTCTACAGGCATTTTCAGTTGCTAACATTCAGAATTGTGAAATATCCTAAGCTCCCAAGAGAGTCTGAAAATGAATGGAGGAAAAAATACTATAAAAAGCCACTAAACCTAGCAACTGTCTTTTCACTACTTTGGAAACCCTGATCCTTTTATATAAGTCTACATTAAGAACAGCAACAATATTTATAATAATCAAAATGCAGAAACAACCAATGTGTCCAACAACTGATGAATAAACAAATGTTTTATATATATATATGTATATATATATATTTATATATATAATGGAGTCTTTCTCAGCCATAAAAAGATATAAAATACTGATACATACTATAATGTGAATAAACACTGAACTATTAGATTCAAGTAAAAGAAGCTCAGTAAAAGATCACCTAGTGTGTGATTCCATTTATGTGAAAAATCTAGAAGAGCAAATCTCTTGAGACAGAAAGTAGATTTATGGTTGCCAGAAGGTAGGGGAAGGAGACAATGGCAGTGACCAAAAATGGGTATGGAGTGTCTTTTGGGGATGATGAAAAGTTCCAGAATTACATAGTTGTACAACCTATCTGTAAATATACAAAAAACCTGTGACTTGTACACTTTAAAAGGATGTATTTTATGTTATGTGAATTATCGCTCAAAAAAAAGGGTGATTTGGCAAAAGTTGCATTCTTCTTTTGCAGGTAGTATTTCAGAATTTTGTGTGTTTAATAAGATTCTAAACACAATTCTACTATGTAACAATTGAACACTTACATGCTTTGTTCATTTGTTTAATAAGTTCTACTAAAGGATCCATACTTGTTAATTTATACTTCGAACAGATAAACTGGAACTACTTAGTATTTAATTTGGTATTAAACACAGCCAATCCAACTGTTGTTTCTCCACTGGCTAGAATGTAGGAGTGGAAGAAATGCACTTTACACTACCACAGCCTTTACTACTCTATGCATTTATTACTTGTTTAAAAACAAACTATTTGCCAGGTCAACTAAAAATAACAGCTTAAGTGATGCAGGTTAGCCAATGCTGGGTGTACAGAGACAAATTAGCTATAACAAATCAAACACCACGCTTCCTTCTTAGGGAATTCATGTTCTTGTGTGTGGTGTTTGTTTTTTGGGTTTAAGTGAAGGAGCAAGAGAAGAATAAAACTTTTTTTTAAATTTATGCTGTTTACAAGACAGAAATCTTAGGGAATGCAAAGGGAGGAAAATTATCTACCATTCTGATTCCACTATGTTCCCACTTCGTAGGCCTCGTTTATAAAGCAGAACCCGAAAAAACAGCAGCTCTTAAAGGAACCATTTCCACCGGGAGAAAGGTTTTGTGAAAGCCAAGGGTAACGGGACTACCTCAATGGATTTCTCCCCAGGGGCTCAGCCCATCGCCAACCACAAATGGGGTATTGAAAAAGACGGGGGCTGCACCTTCCACCCGGCAACGAAAATAGCTGGATTCAAATCACCTGCTCTTCTACCGGGAAAATATAAGCTCCCCAGGGATAGGGATCTGCAACCCCATCCAGTATCTCCGCCAGCCCAGGTAATCCCGGATGCAGAAGATGCAGATGAAAAACCACTTGGGATGCAAAGATGCTTCTCCGGGGGTGGGGGGTGGGGGCGTGAGGGGAGGGAATGAAGGAAGGCGGGGAGAAACCCCCGACCTAAATGCAAAATTAAAACACACACACACACACACACACACACACACATACACATAAAACAAAACTCGAAGGACAATGGATATAAGCACAGAGCCATGTAACGAAATGTTTGCCGGTAACGAAATGTTACGCTCTTGGTCCCCAAGACCCACAGTAAAAAAGAAAGAGGGGAAGGGGAAAAAAAAAAGACTAGCTCAGTGGCTGCTGATACTATAAAAGTTAACCCGGCGCTGGGCTTTGCCGGGAGCCTGAGCCGGTAAGGAAGAGAGGATTCCCGAGGTTTTGTGGCCAGACCCCGACCACCTCGCCCTGCAGTCAGCCCTCAACTGCTGATGGTGGCTCTCGGGTCAAAGTGGGACGGGGAGGGAGAACCACCGAATGCAGCCGCCGCAACTGGAGGCAGCAAAAGGCGGAAAGAAAACCCTCCACTCCAGCAACTACCATCGCGATTCCCAAAGCACACCAAAGAAGATATGGAAGATCTCCAAAAAAAAAAAAAAAAAAAAAAAGAGAGAGAGAGAATTAGAAGGAAAATCCCACAAGCCCCCCGCCCCTGGGGAAGAAGCGCTCTGCGATTGGGCCGCGCGGGTGTCACTCAAGGGCACTGAGTCTAGAAAAGGCACACGGCCGCGAGCGAAGCCCCCATACACCGGAGGGATGCGGCGGGGGTTGCGTCGTCTGGTCGTCGCCCTCCCCCGCCCTAAATCCACCACTACACCGGGGTTCTGTTAAGGCCGTGTCTTTCAGGACTCGTACCCATACCCCCGCGGCGACGGCTCCCCGCAGGCGGGCGACCGCTTACCTGGCCCCTGCTCCCACAGCCGATGTCAGGGTCGGGCGAGCGGCCTCTCGCGACCGTTAAACTCGAGGGAGCGTGCGCGCGCCCGGCACCTTGCTCGCGATTGGCTGTTTGTAGGGGGGCGGAGACGGCCGTAACCGACGCACGCCTCGGTCGCCCCTTTCCTTCCCGCCCCTCGCGCCAAAGAGGGAGGTCAGACGCCTGGGAACTGGAAGGGGGCGGGGCTTCTGTCAAGTCCTCTGGTCTGATTGGTTCTCTCGGAACCTACAGATGCCACGCGAAAAGAAGCCTCCGCTTACCGCATGCGCAGTTGGTAAGAATGAGGCTGGGGCAAGTGAGGGAAGCTGCGGTGAGAGTACTGCGCGTGCGCAGACCCAAGAGTGCGCCTGCGATCCACCTTCTACAGTGGTTCGGTTACTCTAGAACGCTGCGGGTGGGAGGCCAATCCTGAAGCCAGGTAAGCGTCCGTGGAGAAGCCGGTCGCCCCTGCGGTTGCCCACGGATGTCAAGGGCTATGGAGAGAGGACTGGGAGCTGGGACTCCTGACTTTCCCAGCTTGCGACCCTAAGCCGTGCAGCCAATAGACCTGATGGCTCGCTGGCGGTGGGGTGCAGCAGGCCGAGACACCGAGCTAAGTTTTCTCTGCACCTGGTTTACCCTAGGCTGCTGGGGGTCGGCCCTGGGGTTCTTCAAGGACTGGGATGGAGCGGGGGGGCGGGGGTGGAGCACAGCCCAGCGGCATGGAGAAAACAGATGCCCTGAGGCCCAAGAAGAAATGGACGATCTTCATTTACTTTGTTCCGCAGAGCTTTATGGAGCTCTCAGCACGCAGCGGGTGGTTTTAGGCCGGCACGTGGTAGGCGTCTGCACTGCTCTTGCCGGGCCTTTGGAAGGACGGCAGAGAATCCGTATCCCTCCCTGTGAGCCTCAGGCCATCTCATTCTGTTGGTTCGCTGACATTCTTAAGACTAGTTGACCTTTTTTTTTTTTCTTTTTTTTAAGATTTATTTCTTTGAGAGAGTGAGAAAGAGGATGGGAGGGAGGGACAGAGGGAGAAGCAGACTCCCCGCTGGGCAGACACATTCCCCGCCCCACCCCGCTATGCGGGGCTCGATCCCGGGACTCTGGGATCATGACCTGAGCGCAAGGCGGTCAGACCCTTAACCCACTGAGCCACCCAGGCACCCCAAGACTAGTTGACCTTTAAAGCCAACTCTTAGATTGCCCTCCAGGGGTCCTGGGCTCAAAGTAAAGGAATTTCACTGGACCTGTCATGTGGACGGTTCCACATTGGCAAGGAATGACAGATCTGCGAAGAGTTCCATCTCCTCTGAGCCTCCTAACAACCACGTCTCAAACAGTATAAATTCAGTTCATATCCAAACCCCCATCTGTGTATGGAAGATTTCAAGCTTAAATTTAATCCACACCCCGCCCCATTGTGTGAGTCCCATCAGTCAGTAGTATGCTCATACCTAACCAATAGCAAACAAATTTTAAGTACATGGTTCTGATTTCACTGACCATGTTTCAAGCCCACCAAAAAAAAAAAAAAAAAAAAAAGTTATTACTAATTTCAATTGGTCACAAAATTGTTATTTGAGACATCATAGATCTTTTACACTTGGAAGAACTGAGAAGTGTGAATTACTGAGACATCTTCAAGCAGACAGAGTTGTGTTTCCTTACAAGAAGAATATTAACCCCTACATTGAGTACTAGCAATTATTTCCTAACCACGGAAGAGGCAGGAGATGTTCACTTTTGTGTACAAAATCAGATGGGTTCTGTTAGGTTTGAGCATGTAGGTTTCTGGGTTTTTGTTCTTAGTTGTGTGGTTTTAGGTAACTTTTTAATCTATTAATGTCTTAATAAGCCAATGTATTCAGTAGTGGTATTCTGGCTAACCAAGTTACCTTGTTAATGAACTGATGTGGTGAAGTATTTTGGTAAGGTTGCTCACACCATATTTCTTAGGTTAAGCTCTTTGGAAGGGTCATAATTTAAAAAAAAAAATCAGTGGAAATTGCCTTTGCCTCATTGGACTAAAGAGAAAAAGTTTATAAACAGCTAAAAGGGTAGTTTTTAAAGTCCATAGACATTATTTCTGAATATAGAAAACAGAAGTAGGAGGCTTCAGAAATTCCAGTAAATGTATTAAGTACAAAAGCTGTTCATCTAATCTAAAACTACCTTCCATCCTGGGGATTTTGCACTACTTGTATGCGAACTGACACCCCTATTTTATGGTCTTTATGATGGTATGGTTACTATGATTTTATTATAAATTAAATTGCTCACGGATCTCTTTCACCTTGAAGGCTTCAAACTGACTTTTGAGTGGAGATCGTTCACACTGATGGGGATAAGACCACACGGGGCAGTGATAATGACTGATAATGACTTGCCACATTTGGTGAACTGTTTTTCATTTGGGGGACAAGTTCTCCACAGCAGGGAGGGAAAAAAAAGAGGAACTCTAAAACTTTAAATATATGGCTTAATCATTAAACATGAAATCATCAGATGTATATTACAATATAAATTTTGTCATCTTTCTTGTCCTTCATGATTTTTCTTACTCTAAAGATCTTTAAAGATTCTTTACCCTAAAGATCTCCATGTTTAAACAGGACTTGTGTGGATGAAGGACATGAGTGAGGACTCATGATGAGGACAATGTGAGCCTGTTGGGAGAGTCAAACTGTATTCTTGGCATCATAATTATCTCCTTGGGACCTGATTTCATAGACCACAATTATGACTTCACCAAATAGCACATCTTTGATAATTTCATGGTTTTCAAGTACTTCTTAAAGTGGACCCTACCTGGGGCGCCTGGGTGGCTCAGTGGGTTAAGCCTGCGCTTTTGGCTCAGTTCGTGGTCCCAGGATCCTGGGATCCAGCCCTGCATTGGGCTCTCTGCTCAGCAGGGAGCCTGCTTCCCCCTCTCTCTCTGCCTGCCTCTCTGCCTACTTGCGATCTCTGTCAAATTAAAAAAAAAAAAAAAAAAAAAGTTGGACCCTACCAAATGAAATAATTTGCAGGTCTCACTGTTCTAGATGCCTTTTCACTCTGAGCTCTAAAACAAGTCTACCAAGGGTCACCTGGCAGGCTCAGTTGGAAGAACATGTGACTCTTTAATCTCCATGTCATGGGTGTGAGCCCCACATTGTATAGAAATTACTTTAAAAAAAAAAAATATATATATATATATATATATATTTTTTTTTTT